TTAAATTTTGTTAATTATAAGATCTCAAGCAGATGGTAGCAACCATTCATCTTCTCTATGAGAACTAGGATGTTTTTTAATTTCCATAGCCCCGCGAATCATCCTTGGTAGCAATCGATGTTTCTTTGCAAGGATTTGTGTTCTATCAAATCTGATGTAATAATGACGGAGACGATCATGCACATGTTCACAGACTGCTGACCTATCGGGGCGTCGGTGCTTCATGTCTGTCAGCTATTTGTCGGTGCTTCATGTCAGCTATAGGTAGAAGGAAGGAAGAGTTCAAGGAAAAAGTTCATTGTTGAACGTTAGTGCGATTTTACTATTTAGCGCAGGGTTTCCCAAACTTTTTGACCAGAGACTTTGTGATTTTTTTGTTATTAGCAGGGACCAAATTGTGAAAGAAAAAAAAACTTAACTAAAAAACTATGTTAATCTAACAATAAATCATAATCACAACTATTCACATTATTATGTAATAAACAGAAAAGAAGCGTTAACAGTATTATTTGTGTATTTATTGCAAAAGCTACGAGGTGCTTAAAAACAACAATTGTGTTATTAAAAACGATTAGGTAGGCAATACATATATTCAAATCTTTCGCGGACAATATTAAAGCTCTTGAGAATTTTGGGATTCACTTAGCGGGATCTTAGTCAAGCACTAGATTGAAAGTATATGCCGACTTCAAAAGAAACAAAATAATTTGTACATAATAGCTTCAGGCCTTGTTCTTTTCAGAAGGGCTGAGCTCATCTGAGGAAGGACCACACTTACAGAATACCAGCTTAGCATAGTATGACATTTGATGACAACCAAATACGTTACAGTATCTGCGATAAACGTACCATCAGGTGGACTGTGTGCTAGTTTGTAACTCTTATTTAGATAAAAGTTACTGTCTTCCTCGTTAGTCTAGTGTTCGTGAGCGCGACTACTGATCGTGTGGTCCCGTATTCAAATCTCGCGTTGGGCTAAAATCAGTTAATGGGCTTATCTTCATCTTTAAGAAATTCTCAATAGTAGCCTGGAGCCAGGAAGTGGGCGGTCTTTAACCCACTTACCTCAGAAAGCACGTACAGACATTGGTCCTGCGCCTGATCTCGTTCCGTTCGTGTTGAATTACCGAACCATCGGACTATGAGAGTGAAGGAATAGAGAGTGCCCCTGTAACCCTATCCAGAGCAGATGGTTTTACGTCGACTAGTCCTCCGTTGAGACTGGTCTCTTTAATTAGGAATGCCACATCAGAAGACCAAAATACCTGGACAAATCTTGAAAATGTCGGGATTTTAAAGGTTGTTGTCGGGAGAAACAAGTATTATAAATAGATATGTTAAATAAAAAGTTTATTTGTTTAATGAATAGGCTACAAAAAGACTTGACATTGTTGACACAAATAATTTAACTACACTCAATTTTTAGGTTGCCACATGTACCTTACTGAGTCCATCAATTTGGATCCTTTATTAGTATTCAGTAGATTTAAAATTCAAACACTTTACTTCAAGGTTCAGTCTAATTACTTAACTCAGCTTTTATTAAATCAAAAGCAGATGTGATGTGAAGAGAAGCTCTTTATCTGGAGATTTTGAGTTTTGTCGGGAGTTTGGAGATCATTTGTGTCAAATGTCAGGAGAATCCAGACGGATCCCGACCACCCGGCAACCCTAGCTATAACCGAAATTCAGTTTGAATGACATTATTAACAAAAAGTTGCATCTATCTATTTTATTTTATTTATTTATTATTAATTGTAACACCTTACAACTTAGGTAACAATGGGCGGACTTAATGCCTGTCGGCATTTTCTGCCAGACAACCCGTGTGGTGAGCTATTATGCCAGAAGTTATATATATATATATATATATATATATATATATATATATATATAACAATACACACACACCTCACATGACGTGTAACAATTTTTATCATGAAACTATATCTTGTTTCAAAAGGTGTTCACGGGGTTTCATCAAAGGGTTGGAGCTTTTCGTATGTCTTCGGGTAAGGAATTCCACAGTAGAGTATCGTGTATAGTAAAGGATTTTCAGGAGAATCCAGAGATATACTATATCTGTTCCTTCCATTCAACAACTCAACTTCATCATTACTTTCCCAACATAGCTTATCAAATAACAATATTATTGAAATGTGTTAGATTTCTCAGTTTTTTATTTCATTGTTAGATTGTCATCAAGTTTTAAATTATCAAATTGTTTATTCCGCACTCACGGGTACACATCCGGTTCACGCTCTGTTTTCATTCTATTCTAGCGTGATTAATTGCATAGAGCTATTAGTACCTTAGTTTTTGTAACTAGTTAAAAATACTTAGGTAACAAGCAGACGTGTATCTGTGGGAGTGGTTGAATTGGAGCCACCGCAGCGTGACTAGATTTGTTTTTGCAATCACTTCACGTGTGTGTCTCTGAATAGCCCCTCACCGTAAGGTTTTATACGCGGTAGAGCCACGCTGCGGCTGTATATTATGACTGTAGCACGAATGGGTCGGCACGACCAGGAAGGACCACGCTCTTACAGAATACCAGCGTAAAATAGCAACTTAATACTACTGTGTTTCGTATGGTGAATGTAGAGATACGGAAACTCTTTTACGGGAAACGAGGCATTCCATTTTAATCCTCAAGGGTGACAACGCATCTGCGTTTTGATTCTTAATCGAGGATAAATGTAGATGTCTATGAGCCACAGCATCCACTTACCATCAGTTGGACTGTGTGCTCGTTTGTCATCCTTATTCAATAAAAAAAATTATTTGTAGTCATTATCTGTAATGATCTCTTCGATATCTAACCAATCAAAGATTAATGAAGACATCTAAGAGTAATAACATCCATTTATCATCGGATGAACTCTATGTGCCCGTTTGTCAACCTTACTTCTACACCAAAAATGTTTAACTTGTTTTGAACACGGCAGTTTAATCCTGAATCCTCATGAATTTCCCAAAAGTACAATATTTTTGCATCTTTTTTGTAAAAATACTATATTTGTTAAAAAAAGGTGGCAACCCTAAGCACCAATGACTTGGCTCATCCAGGAAAGGGCTCAGAGTACCAATGTAAAATAAAAGCATAATGCTGCATTGTTTTGTATGGTGAGCGTTGCGGGCTAAGATAGAAAGTTCTGACATTTAGTCTTTAGGGAACATCTTTATTTTGGTTCCTAAACAAGGATAGATGCCACAGGTGTCTTAGGACCACAGAGTCCACTTAAATTTTGGATTTCGTGCTCGTTTGTTACAAACAACACTTATGATCTGTTCAATTTAGCATAAGATTTAATATAAACAAATAATAAAATGGGTTCTTTATGGTGTGCATTACAGTTATGTTTAGAATTCGTTTGCAAATAAAAGAATTTGAAAAAATCTCAAAAAAATACCATACTCGAATAAGCCAATTTTATTTCTTTTACGTATTAGAAATAAATATGAAACTATTACGAAACTGTTTGTTTCCATTGTTAAATATTATATTCACACAATAATTGTATGTAAGTAAAAACACATAAAATGTTCTGTACTCAAATTTAAAACTAATTAAAAATACTAATGAGAGAAGAAAAGAGGAGCGAAGAATGTCAAAAATGAACATTGTAGATATAGTCAATCTGTCGTCTGTCGGTATCTTCAAATAGCTGAAACGATTGTCTTAAAACATCAGAAACAGAGAAATATGCCAAAATGATATTTGCTTATTATTGTTATTTTAATTCATTAGACCTGTATTATGTAAAACTAATAGACCTTTAATAGAATATTTATTTTATATACTTGTATTTCAAACTTCATACAATATGATGTATATTCCCATTCGCACATAGTTTTATAAATAATAGTAAAAAAACTGAGGTTAAAGTGGTTGTCGTTGACTAGAATACATGCCCAAAGACCACTTATATACGCGGTTATTAATTAAGCTTTTGTAATATCACAGGCAAAGTCAGCGCTAGTACTAGTGATACAACGAAAATGTTTGAGAAACATTTTTATATTTACGTAAAATCTCATGGTGAGATAAAGTAAGTGATAACCATATCAATTATGCCATCAAGTCGCCAGCCATTAAAATCACCAGAAAGTTCAGTTAAAGTAACAGTCCATAAACGAGAGCAGGTAAACATTAGCCTTTTAATTGTTAGAGATAATAGTCACGAAGCGTCCGCCGCACTGAGTTAAGAGTGGGAAGGAGACTTCACATATAGAAAGAGATAACTTACACGAGCAGGTTGTCTCACTTTATAAATTATATGTCACCAGGTAAAATGCATTTAGAATTTAGATCGTCAGCTTAGTAAATGTGAACTAACGTGGTTCATTTTAGCTCAAAGTTGGTCTTCATAAAGATTTACATACTCAGCACGCTAGACAGACGTGTTGTAATGAGCGTTGGTGAAGATGATGGAGCGCCTTACAATTATATCTCTTATCATCTGTAGGATTTTAGTTTGCCATTTTTGAGGATATCCACACTTTATAAATTATATGTCACCAGGTAAAATGCATTTAGAATTTAGATCGTCAGCTTAGTAAATGTGAACTAACGTGGTTCATTTTAGCTCAAAGTTGGTTTTCATAAAGATTTACATACTCAGCACGCTAGGCAGACGTGTTGTAATGAGCGTTGAAGATGATGGAGCGCCTTACAATTATATCTCTTATCATCTGTAGGATTTTAGTTTGCCATTTTTGAGGATATCCACAGTAGAACCAGCGTAATCGACATAACAAAATAGAATCAGTAAGCTGAAGTGGTAATGAGCCGGCCATATACCTCGAAAAACGTTCGCGGAAGAAAGGTTATCGAGTAGCTGCTTCGTACCGGTAAGCGAAGTGTAGGGCGTCCCCACAACCTCGTTAGGAATGCAGGCAGGTCTATGTTCACAAATAAAAACAAAAAAATTCTTAAATACCAAAAAACCCGTACCAGAATCACTTATAATTTATTAATTAACGCGTTCGTGACCCAGATACACATGTACCAGCAGTCTATGATGCGAGCGGAGGAGATCCGACGACGGCGTCGCGAAGACACGCCTGGAACCCACACGGCTGTAAACAACATCCTGGCAGCCGCCGCTAGGGAGATGGAGGAGGCCAGGCAGGCGGCGCGTGGCAACGACCGCGTCGTGGCCAGCATACAGACCGAGCAAGATGGTAGGTTTAATATGTTGCAATATTTATCTATATCGTTTAAAATATTCTTCTTCGTCTTCTTCATCAGATAGTAAAAGTCTACTTCTGGACGTTGGCGTCTCCTCTTTATATACTTCCTGATGGTAAGCGGATGCTGTGGCCCACCTACATAAATCCTCGATTAAGAACTAAGTTTTAAATGCGTTGTCGGCCCTGAGGACTAAGATAGTATTCCTCGTTTCCAGTAAAATTAAAAATATTATTTCAGATACAAATATTACTAGTTGTTACCCCAAAAATGTATGACGGGCTCAGTAGCTCAGTTCCTTGACACATGCTTGTTACGTACGAGTATACTTGCATGGATTAATCACATATTCTTTTAAAGCAGGCATCTTTAACTTTTATTTTGAATTTCATTGCTATGAAACTTACTTATACTGGTTAATATTATTTACCGTCTGGAAAAAATAGGGTGTAACAGGTGAACGGAATAGAAGCCTATGGCACTGATATTTTACAAGTTTTTATTTTATTTTACATTTTTTTTGTAAAATTAAAATTGTAAAATATCAGTGCCATAGGCTTCTAATCCGTTCACCTATTACACTCAATTTTTCTCTAGTGGATAAAAAAAATAACCCAGTATATTATAGTAATTGTTTTCTTAATATAAGAGAAATTATTGAATTAATTATAGTTTCAATCGCGTGACGAAAAAGTATCTTATTAAATTAAAGTAAACGTACGGAGCATTCACCTCCTGGCTCTGCTACATAGTACTAAATATTGTTTATTTTGTGGCTCTGCTTTTCGATGTTGAGAGTAACTTTAGAACTGTATTGTATCGCTAGTCGCTACACAGTTGTACATTCATTGTTGAATTTCTTTCGAGAATGATTGACGTTCCGTAATTAATAACTAGCATTTTATTATAGGGTAAGGCCTCCGGATGATTGTTCCGTTACTTGCCCACTCCCCCGTTTTATTATGTATGTAATTATAGTATTCTATGGAAAATCCTTTTAGTACCTAGTTCCGGAAAACCATAGTGCACAGACAAAGAGAAACAATACACAACATAAAATAATTTCCACACACGTGGAGTGGAAATTATTTTATATATGTATTGATTATTTAGTGACTATTTCTTGTACTAGTACTCTTGTAGTATTTTATTATATTATTATTTCATGATTCCGGTTAGATTTCCTTGAAATCTTTAGGCCGTTTACTATAATAGATATAGAATTGGTTTCTTTTTCTTTTGTCTGATCTAATACCATTAAGTTACGTTAACATTTCTAGTGGGCGTGAGGTGATTGTCTCCTTTAATAAATTTTTTTCTTTATTTGTTTCTGTTTTTATTTATTTATTCTTTTAATCTTGTCAACTATGAGATTAAAAAGGGCGGACTTAATGCCTATTGGAATTCTAACAACCAACGCTGGGTGTGGTGAGAATTGGTGGCAGGTGCAATTAAGTGTTTATATGGTAGAGCTATGCTGCAGCTATATTATGGTTGTAGCACGAATGGGTCGGCTCGACTGGGGCAGGGTCACACAGAATATTAGCCTAAAATTGCAGCTTAATGCTGCTGTGTTTCATATGGTGAGTGTAGTGAACCGGATACCATTTCACTGGAAACGAGACATTACATCGTAGTGCTCAGGAGCTACAACGCATCTGCATTTTGATTCTTAATCGAAGATAAATGTAGATGTCTATGGTAGGGTTGCCACCTTTTTTTGAACAAATATAGAGTATTTTTCCCCAAAAAAGAATCAAAAATATAGTACTTTTGTGGAATTCAGGAAAAAAAAGTACACATTTATTTTTAATGATCGTATATTTTTCCATATTTGTTATTGCTCTTCGCTTTGTCCATCAATGATCTATTTACCTTTAAAATAATTATATGATAGAAATTTAGATTCATATTAAAATAAATTAACAATTCATGTTTAATTAAGTTAATAGATATTCTGTTTTTTTCTTCTTTCATTTTACATTCATGACACAAAAATATTTCCGTGAAAGCGGAAGTTACGGGAATAGTGGGAAGAAAGCAATTTATTTTAAATAATATATTTATCAAGTTTTTGAGATGGAAACCACTCTTCTTTGATAATTTTGAAATAATTTCATTTATCATAATCAATTCTGAATACAAATTTTTAACATTAATTTAATAAATGATTAAATTTTCAATTTATTTATTAAATTCAAAGAATACAATATGGCCACGAGTTGCTTAAATTCAATATTCAACTTTAAATTTAGAAACTGGCAGTGGTTAAGCTCATTACTTGGGTTAAAATCAAACCATTTGTTATAATAATATTAAAACTTTCTCAAGAAACAATAGGCTCCTAGTAATCCAAGTGCTGGGCTGCGGGTACGTTCCAGACTTCCAGTCATAGTCATTATAACAATTGGTAAAATAAAAAAAATTGTACAACCGACTTCAATACGACCGAATCAATGTATTCGAAGTCAATTCAATACGTATTATTAAAGATAACTCAAAAACTATTTGTCAGATCTTGATTAAATTTATATGAAACCACACGAAAAGCACCAGCTTTCAGATAAAAAAAGAATCATCAAAATCGGTTCACCAAGAGAAAAGTTATATGAGGTAACATACATTAAAAAAAAACATACAGTCGAATTGAATACCTCCTTCTTTTTGAAATCGGTAAAAAATTCGGAATAAGGGATAAAAATACAGTATTTTTTTCGTACTATATTATTTTTCTATAATATATGGTACAATTGACTGAACTATAGTACGATACTTATATATTATAGTACGGGTGGCAACCCTAGTCATTGGGCTACAGCAGCCATTTACCATCAGTTGGACTGTGTGCTGGTTTTTCATGGTCTTTCGGTAAAAAAATTGAATTTAGAAAAGAAAATAATAATTTACTATTTTTGTAACCCTATACATAATGTGGCCGGTGAGGAAAAGGGGAGATTTCCCGCCGGGCAAGGTGTTCTGCCCGGGGAGCGGCCGACACTCCGTATGATAGTTCGGAGCTGTTCTATATATACTGTTTATGATTCGGAATGTTGATAGTGCAATTTAGGCTTCGGTGTGTTTCGCTTGTGGCGCGACGACAGCGCCGCTACACATAATAACAGAGACAAATATATACCTACATTATTAGATTATATGAAATAAACAGTACAAGTACATTCATAATATATTCATATGAACTATATACAAGTATCTAGTATATAAATAAACACAAATAAATAAGAACACCTAACGACACGACACTATCAACTGAATATAAGTTTATAAATATTTTTATTATAAAGTACATAAAAGCAACAACTATGTTAGCTCAGGGATTAATTGTTATAAATTTAAATATACGTTTGCATCGATAACATTTAATTTTCAATTCTAATGTATCATAAGCTTAGCGGGGAAGGAACCTAAGTTCCTCAGAACATTCATAACGTCATCATTTAGACATCTATGTAGGCACTCCACTTACCATCAGGTGAACTGTGTGCTCGTTTTTAACCATGACTCTATTAAAAAAATACTTAAACAACATGAAACGTTCCACAGAACATTTTAAAATATGTTATATAACAAATACTTGAAGCAATTCCACGAGCCCGCTCACTAATGGCGTAGCGAACTTCCCCCCGTACATCAAAGGAGTAAAATAATTAGTCGGCACTAACTTTCGGACCGATTACAATCTGTGTGTCTTCAAGGCATGAATGAATAGGCTTTTGTTACGCTGACTGCGATTTTCCATAAAAGTTTTCATCACCTCTTACCACCACATGGGATTATCATCAAACACTAACTTACAATAAATAGAAAATAATAAAGAATAACACTAACGTATTAAGAAAAAACCCGTAATGGTTCAGAGAGTAGTATTGCTACTATGGGGTTTGCATAAGCGCTTAAATAAAAAAGTAAAGATGTTAAAAGCTAATTAGTTTAGATCTACGTAAAAAAAATTGTGTGTCTTACCTAGTTTGAAGAGAATTTCCCGTCCTTCCTCAATTGCTTTCGATATCCCAGTCACCACTCCAACACCGCTACACTTGGAAACACACACCACCGTAGATAATATGACACGTTTCGAGGCATCATCAGGAGATACAGACGGTGCGATGGCGAACCGTTTAGCTAAATTAAACGAGGATTCGTTTAGAAGTGAAACGCGTCGTATTATGTATTTATTCGTGTTGTGGTGTGTCTTTCTTTGTGTAGTGGTGTTGACAGCAATGATGCTGGGATTAGAGGTGACGAGGATAGTGCACGCAGTTGAGTGAAGGCGAGATATGCTCTTTAAACTAGGCAAGACACGTCAGTTTATGCGTATTTTTGACGAGGATCTTACCTAATCAGTTTACTACATATATATTATAATGGATTTCTGCAAAAGTAACGCCTGATTCTATTAATTTTCTTACAAATATCTTAAAACGATCTTTTATCGTCCACAAAGAGAAACGTCTTGGATTTTTTCCTTCATGTTCCAGGCACGTTCTATATACTAAACGACCTTAATATTTCTCCGGGAATCCTGAGCCTACGCCCTTAGTTGCATTCGTAACTTTTTTATTTAAAATAAATTACTTTCCTTTTGGTGTTACGAATAGGGTGGTTACAAACCCCAATGTGTTATACAATAATTTACTACATATTTTTGCCGTATCATACACTAATTCTAAATATATTATATTAAACGTATCGTATTAAACGTTATGTAGTACTCGTGCTTATGTTATAATATGCAAATTGCACCAGATTAGAGATGCCGCGATTATTTGTTCTAGCGCATAGTCGAATACCGATTAATCGCTATTCCCTATGGCGAATAGTAGAATAACTCACCATTATTATTCGACAAAAAAAAAAGGAATATAAAGAATGTCGAATAACACCAGCTATATATATATATATATATATATATATATATATATATATATATATATATATATATATATACGAATAACAAAAATATGTCAAGGAATATAGATATACTACAGTTAGTACGACTACTGATCATGAGGTCCTGGGTTCGAATCCTGGGTCTGGCGAAAAACTAAGTTATGGAGTTTTTCTGTCGAGAAATTCTCAGTAGCTGCCCGGAGTCAGGAAGTTGGCTGTGTATCACCCCCATGCCTCGGAAAACACGTAAAACCGTTGGTCCTGCGCCTGATCTCTCTCCGGTCGTGTCGGTTTACCATCCCATCGGATTATGAGAGTGAGGGAAGAGAGAGTGCACCTGTGCACTTGCGCATACGCGTGGGCACTATAATACTGTCCTGCGCCGATGGCTAGCCTCCGCTGAGACAGGCCGCCGTAGCGGAAATTCGATCTGGAGGACATTATTATTACTATTAATTACGTGAATATTTTCCGCAACACGTATAGCATCTGGAACAATTTTATGAGTACGTAAAAACATATATATATATATATATATATATATATATATATATATATATATATATAACATATCCATTTATATAAATTATTCTTTATATGGAAATTTATGTATGTATATATCTTCGATCAATGTATATTATTGATCGAAACGGAAGTTATATCTCAGCGTTAATTGCTCTCCAGGCTTAAATCTGCTTATAATAATATTTGGGTTCCGAGAATGAATGGGTTGTGTTGTATCATCAAAATATAGTTGATGCATCGACACTTCCTCTGATTTTATCCATTAGGCATAAGGTACGACACAGCAACGAAATTAATACTCCTTTAATCTGCAACATTCTCGACGGCGAAGAAAGTACGTGCTGCGAAGAAATCATTTACTTTAAGGACAAGCATTAGAGCAGCATAAAGGATTATTCTTTTACATAGTTATATTATGCTAATGATGTGTTCTCCAAAAGGTCTATATGTGGTGGATTCGTGAGGCGAATTGTCCATTTCCCTTTCGTATTTAGATGTCTTTGGGTCTATACCTTTTGATATTTTGAAACTACAAATTTATGCCGCCTATAAAAATGACAAAAAAGATTATACCTGCGGAGTTCCTTTCGTTATTTCATCCCCCGTCAGAGGACGAAAGACAATAATAAGTCAAACGTCATTCTTAAAAATACAAAGTAGTAGTAGTAGTTTTTTAAACGGTACTACCGTTTAAAGTTCGCGTTGTGTATATTTTCTTTGCTAGTACTGCCGTTTAAAAAAAAAACTAAAAGGTGAAGCTCGTACTTTCAGCCCTCCAAAAATAGCACCTGTTCACAAGTATGACCTCCTCGATAAACATTATCATTTCATACGTCGAACAATTCATTTGTTTTTCATACCATTTTAATATGATGTTCAGAAGCGATATTTTGATATATCTGCCATTTTAATTTTTATTTATCCGTCTTACCCTATTATATTTAAAGGAATGGAAATCCTGATACAAATATAATAGTAAACTTATATTCTAGACCGTGCCTTAGTTGCTTACGCAACTACATTCGTATCATAAAAAACTACAAAAAATTAAGGTTAAAAATGATAATTAAACGGCATATCGTTAAGAATGACACGAAAAACAATTCTGGTTAATTTTTTCCGCATCTTTTACAATCAGAGGAACCTTCATAGATTACTTATATAGAAAATACTAAGACAGGTAGGCTTATACATAAAAAGATAAGGAAAATGTTTTGTAATAAATTAATGTTTGATAAATAAGTAACCACAAAACAATTTTATTCCTAGAAAGTAACTGTTCATATATGCCCCTCGGCTAGGCCTAATTTCTGAGTTTGCGCAACTATAATGCGTGTTAGCACACTTCTCAAGTCCCCTATATATTTTTAATTTTTCACACACGTTAGTTTTTTTTCTTTATCGCTTCACTCTTAACCCGTGAGCCACAGATTAAATAATGTTAGCTGGGCCACCACTGCGATGTTTGACAAACTAAATTTAAATTTCTAAAACGTCATAAGTAGAAATCTTCCCTTGGAGTCAACAGTCCTGCTACCATTAAACTGCGTGATTGTTGTAAAACCATCGAATGAATGAACTAGTGCAATTTTATTTTATTTTTTTATCACTTGAATGCTTCTCCGTAAATTATTACCCGATAACGGAACCGCAGGTCGTTACACTAACAAAATACTATTGAGTGTTGATTGACGTTTGATCATGATAATTTAGCTTCAAACATAAATAAAGTAAATCGCGTTCCGTTGACGTTAACCTATTTAATTTAACAAATGAAGTGTTGGCATGAGTGGTAATGCTAGTCTATGCTAAAATTACATATGATTTTGATCGCCGCCAACGGCACCACCAAGTGGTTAGTCGCAATTTTGGCGCTTGATGGTGAACATAGTGAGGAATCTTGCATGACGAGAAATTAAAAATATTTTAAAAAGGTGAAGCTCCAAAATCCTGAAAAACTATTTCAGATTGACTTTAGAGATGAGAGTAGGTCTGAAAGATGGGCTGTTTTTGTATTGTATGAATACTTTTATAGAAGCCCGGAAGTTTTTATCATCATTTTCGCACTGTTATGATGTATTTACCATAGCAATAAAAATTTAATAGCTGGTATGGTTTCTTTAGCCTAGGAGTTCATCTAGACTTACCACTCTCTGTTTTCTCCTATTTCTGCCGTCAAGCAGCGCTGCATCTACTGCTATGTTTCAGTTCGTAGGGTAATGCAGCCAGAATAGAAATAGGCTGTGATACATTTCACGTTTATTCTCACAGTTGATATTACATACATATTATGTGGTCTTCTCACTTCGAAGTTACTGTAGCCACTTGGCATCGGGTAAATTGTTAGCGTTAACTCCTGTACAATAGAAAACTTTTATTACATACACATTATGTGGTCCAAAATATCTGGACAGATTTTGAAAATGTCGGGATTATGGGGTTGTTCTCGGGAGAAATAAATATTAAAAATAAAAAGTTTATTTTTTATAAAAAAAGTAAGAAAAGTATTTAAAACAAAAGTCATTTAAGTACACTTCATTTTTAGGTTGTCACATTTGAATTTGCTGTGTCCGCCAATTTGGATCCTTAGGAAGTATTCAGAAAATATTTAAAATTCATTAAAAGCTTTTATTAAGCTGTTTGTTTGGAGATTTTGAGTTTTGTCGGGAGTCTGGAGATCATTTAAAATATCGGGGGAATCCAGACAAATCTCGACTATCTGTCAACCTTAGAAGTATCAAAGTTCTGAATAAAAACGTGGGAAACCATTACCAGGTTTTATATTCGAAGCCTATGTTTTTTACTAAATACTTTATGTAACTATGTAAATTTAAAAATACTTTATGTAAATTATGAGACTACTTCTGAAGTCTAACCGCACTATCGTAGTATATACATTTCAGGAAAAAATCCACCTCTAAGGTGGAAAATAGATGATGAAGTTTTTATTGTAACTACTTAAACGACAACGTAATTGTTACCTTGAACTCACGATATTGCATAGTCCACTCAAAAGGGTAAAAAAATTATAAATCGACTTCAAAAATTTAAAAAAACGTAATAATAGGTTTTTAATGTTTTTACAGTAATGGAATAACTCCGATACCTTGCTAATAATGCGTTATTTTTATATTATGGTTAATGTAAAAAAATTAAAATGCGATTTACAAACCAGCTTATTCATAAATACTTTAATATAATATATTTCTTTAGCAGCTGCCACGGCCGCGACAGACTCAAAAAGAGAATCAGAAGAGGATCGCCCAAAGAAACGTGTTTCGATCCTCTCGCCGGAAGACGATAAGCTCAGAGCGAAGAAGAAGGCGATGACTGTACGCTTCCAAGACGACAATAAGACTGAGGAACGCCCTAACAAGATCACTTCGCCGGGTGAGTGGCATTTTTTTTTATTAAGGTACACATTTTATGTTTTAATTTTACGTGTTTATTAATCAGTCCGGGTTACAGATTAAATTTCATTATACATAGTTATTTTCAATTTTTAATCATTACAGTCTATCATAAGTCTGCTGACACGTAGATCATCCCATCGATTGCCTCATAGGGGCGCGCTTAATATGCCATATTTGCCACGCTTGGCAGCGATTTGGCATCCGCAGTTTTTTTTATTTGCTAAGTATAATTAGGAAGACGCTGCTTCTGCCCTGCCCATCTTCTTGTTTGATTTCTTTTGTCGCCTCTTATGAATCCCACGAGATACGGGTTGTGGTTACACCGCCACTTTAATTTTTTATAATTTCAAACTAAATCGATATTTTTTTACGGTCTAAATTATTAATAATATGAAATACCTAATAAAATTGAATCGTTTTAAAAATGTATTTTTGTTTAATAAAACACTCCTACACTGGTCGTTTTTATTTTAAACAAGCGCAGGTGATTAGCAAATGTTTTAAAATACTTTATAATATCTTAACATCACCTCATACGTATGAAAACAAAAAAAATGTCTGACATTTAAGAGAGCAATAACTCGGAATGGATTTTTATTTTCATAAATCATAAGCGCTGGCTTGTCCCAACTGTGTATTACAGAGCAATGTTCGAAACAAGGTCGTAGTGCCGGCTAACTTTTACTAATCTAATTACTAGAATGTCAGCATAGTCCGTATTGATTTCTCACTAAATATACGGCTTTAATTATAATACTTCATGATAACTAATACAAAAATTACGCTGTTATGTTTAATAGCAGAGTAAGAAAATAAATCCCGTAATTCAATTAAGTTAACATATACAAATAAGTACTTGTGTTCGTAAAGACGTATAATATATTAAATAAGTATTGATAATATATTCTAGTGGAAAAAACTAAGCATAAAAAATCTATAATCGTAGCGACATCCTGGTCGGTTTAGGCCACGAAGCTTTTTTTTATATAAAAGGGTGACAAACGAGCACACAGTCCAGTCCACCTGATAGTAAGTGGGATACTGTGGCCCATAGACGTCTACATTTATCCTCGATTAATAATCAAAACGCAGATGCGTTGTCACCCCTGAGGACTAAGATGGAATGCCTCGTTTCCAGTAAAAAGGATCTCCGGATCTCTACACTCACCATACGAAACACAGCAGTATTAAGCTGCAATTTTACGCTGGTATTCTGTGAGAGCGTGGTCCTTCCCCGGTCGAGCCGACCCATTCGTGCTGCAACCGTAATATAGCTGCAGCGTGTCTCTATCACGTATAAAAAGTAACTTCTTTCCAGTAAATAATCACCTTATTGAATTAAAAATGCAATAACAGTGACACGGGAGTCATTACATAATACACTATAGTATGCATAAGAGCAAATGTTGTGTAATGGTTGGATTTTTTTACTTATTATAAGCCAGTGTTGACTGCAATCCCATCTTGTAGTTAGCGGTAATGAGGCCCTAATACCAGATGAGTCCTATGGCTTCCGGTGGTTATAAACTGTCAAAGCTGTTGGACGTTAAATACAGATCCTCCCTACAACGAAAGTCTATTTCTAGAAGTGGAGGTTTACGCGATAGTAAAGAAGAAGCGTATAAATAAGCGTGAAAACCAATTTAATTTTTACTTACACTTAAATAAAATAAGGACATACCTGAAATAGTTGCCCTATTCTCCCTTTTTCTCCAATTTTCCCCCCCTAAACCCCCCCCCCCCTCTCACCCCTCAAATTCCTATATTTGTTATTTTGTGAAGATTTTGAAATTGGTCGAGATATGCAACATGAAAATATAAATATACACAACACAAGTTAAAAACAAAATTACCATTTATCTATTCATTTCAACGCGTTTTATAATTTAAAAAATTAATTATTGTAATTTCCTATATATATATTTTTCTGATTCTTATATTGTTTCTGTTCAGCAAAGGCATATTTTTATAACTCCAGCGGTAGAAAGTTCAAACGGAGCCAACAGTACGTTATAAAATCGACCGAGCTATTTCTGTGGCGGTTTTATGTATAGAATAAGAATAAAACTAAATCAACAATAGTGCTACTCAAAAACAAGTTTTAGAAGGGTTAACGTGTTAAAACGTCATAAGACAATGTACACACAACTGTTGTTTCGAGCTCTTTGTTAAAATATTTTATTTATGTATGTATGATAAATATCTACCTGCTATTTCTACATTTATTAAATAGATTGTTTTGAAAACAATATTTTTATTAAAATAGTGTTTTATGGGGAAAATTTTTTGTAGTGTACAAAATTTCAATATTCGGTTATTATGCTTAAATTTTGTGATTAAAAATTTAAAGGTCAGAATTTACTATTTAAATGATATACGTTCCTTTTTGTATTCAAAATTTTATTAGTCATTAATCTTCTAAGAAAATTAAATCAATTATTTCGGAATATTATGTAACTAATGATATCCTATTTTTACGTGAACAATTAATCTAATGTTTTCGGATTTTATTGCGTATAATAACCTGTTTTATATTTTTGTTAGGTAACATAAACTTTTCTGAGGAATTTCGGACGAGCATCCCTTCTTTTGTGGCTGAACATATTTTTATCTTTTTTTTAGCATTGAAACCTGAAAGAACTAAACTGAGTTAAATGACAACTAAAATCGATTAATAGTAATGTTTGTAATTGGTTGTTTGTAGAATTACGTAAAAGTATCTAGAACTACCTTTTTGCTTTTCAGTAGTACCCATTCTTGTATTATATGCTGAAGATCAAGTTATGAGGAAATAGCTAAGCAAAAATCTTTTAAAATAGGAAGCAATAATTACGCACTAATTATAACTACATAAAGGAACACGGAATCTATATAAATACATTAAAATTAATATTTTTTGTTTGTTTCGTTAAACGTTCACGTATGTACCATTTATTCATCTGATTATGACAAACAGGTGTGCGCGTCAGCGAAAGGTTATGACAAAAAAAATATTGTTTTGTTTCCTTTGTTCGTTTGCAACATAAATTTACTAATATTAAATATATTTAGCACCATTTTTTATAGAATAAGGGTGACAAACGCACACGCAGTCCAGTCCACCTGATGGTAAGTGGACGCTGTGGCCCATAGACATCCATTTATCCTCGAATAATAATCAAAACGCAGATGCATTGTCACCCCTGAGGACTAAGATGGAATGCCTCGTTTTCAGTAAAAAAGGGTCTCCGGATCTCTAAACTCACCACACGAAACGTAAGTATTAAGCTGCTATTTTACGCTGGTATTCTGTGTAAGCGTGGTCCTTCCCCGGTCGAGCCGACCCATTCGTACACTACACCCATAATATAGCTGCAGCGTCGCTCTGGTTCTACCACGTATAAAATTACCTTTGCTGTTATATTTAGTAAACTGTTCGCTGTTTGCATCCCGCTATCACCCAACAAAGAGAAGTGTCTGTACTCTGTATTGAAAAAATTGCATTTAGGCACTTCCCTGTTATTCATTTATAATTTTGGTTGCAAACAGGATGTCGCTACCATTATAGTTTTTGTGCTTACTTTTTTATATTAAGAATACATTTTTTCAATCACTTCTAACATTTTTTTGTAAAAATGAACCACGGAGCAGAATAATTAACAGTAAAATCGTGTACAAAAATTGTCTGCAATATTTTATTCAGTTTTATAGCGTTATGCTAATAAAATTTTGTTTTTGCACATGAAAAACACAATATGATTGACACGTCGCAAAAAACAAAACATTAGCTTTTCTGTAATTTTTATACCAAGATTTATACTAGAAATATCAGATTTTAATTTTTTTTCAATCTCCAAACTAACGGCCAATGCCTTCACCTTGGACTCTACTGCCACCGCCCATCTATGAGTCAGGTAGACCAGAAGATCCTTATAAGCTCATTCAAATCATTTGAAAGAGCTTATAAAGACCTAGGTGGCTGTTGTTATATCACCTTTCTGATGGTGCAATCCGAAGGTGATTATAGGATCTCAGTGACGGGACTAGATAGGACGATCGTGTTTCAACTCATGTGAAAGAGCTCATAAAGACCTAGGTGACTGTTATGATATTGCCTTTCTGATGGTACAATCCGAAGGTGAGTATAGGATCACACTGACGGCACTATTTTACATTTTCTTTCTTTTTAATTTATAGGAGTCACGCAATTTTGTCTGTGAAACTTCTAAAGCCAAAATTAAAATTTATGTCCCCCCCCCCCTCAAGGGGGAGAAAATACAAGAAAAATAAAGAAAACTAAACTAAATATGCTGTACGTATATGGGTTTGGTAACTTATAATGATACCGACCTGCTATGCTACGGGCCCTCACAAATCTCAACTTGAGTATTTATTTAAGCAAATAACACATAAATTTTTATAAACAGGCTTTGTTTTAAAGTTTACCGTTTTTTTTATTTTGGAAATGTATCAGTGTTGTTTATATGCCAATGTCTTTTTATAATATCTTATATTAGATTACAATATATTGCTGTCTACTGAATGCTGCTGTGGTCGAAAATCTGGCCAAAAGAAAACTACATCACTGACATATTACGCCAATTTGGCCCGACAAATTTTTTCGTATTTGCTTAAAAACTAAAACTAAACTTGCTTTTGATTAACAATAAACATTAAAATATGGATAATTTGATAAGAGGCCGTCCATATGATATGTAAGCGAAATAGGAGGGGAGCCATGGATTTACATAACACGCGATGAGTCGGAAAGACAGAGTGAACGAAGTGACGTGATGCGATGTTTTAAATACCTAAACTATTTTTTTTTAAAGAAGGTGAACTTCCTTGCCTATTAAAACAAGATCCCTATTGTGATGTCAAAATGCAAGGAGTCAAAAAAATATGATGTTAGTGCTGAGTAACAAAGAATGTGTTCCATGTATCAAAAATGATTAATAATATCGAATTGGAAGTATCAAAAAACGGACAGCAATTGTT